GGGCAGCTCAGGGCACCTTTGGGTGCTGGGGTGCTCGGGGAGGGGGGCAGGACCCTGGGGACCCCCCAAAAACACCTGGATAGCCGCAGCGCCACGCTGGGATGGGCGGGTGGCGATTCCCGGGCTCTCATTCCCAGGTTTCCGTCCCCACCTTCCCTCTCCCGAGTTCCCTCCGGCACTTCTGGGTCCCTCCAGCCGGGATTTCCCCCCACGCCCACGCGGCGGGGAAAGTGGGGGGGTTGCGCAAACCCCGAGTCACGGAGCCGCAGACGCCGTGGGGCAATCGGGGGGGGGGACACGGGGCTGTCCCCCCATCGCCACCCCAAACACCTGCCCGGGTGTGTGGGCTCAGCCCCGGGCAGGATTTGATTATCCCGGGATAGGACGGGAGCCCCCCCGCCCCGGGATCCCCCCGTCCATGGGTGACCAAGGGGACAGGAGCTGAGTGACCCCCCATCTCCGGGGGTCCCTCTGGAGGTGGCCCTTCAACCCCCCCAGCGCCGGGGGTGACTCAGTGGGCGGGGGCCCCAAAACGGGGCAAAACCCACAAAAATGTGGTCTGACCGCTTCCCCCTGTTGTGACGCAGGGGTAGGGGAAGGGGGGGCCTGGGGCCACCAGAGGGGGATCCGGGGCTACCAAGATGGGGACAGGACCACCAGGGTGGGCACAGGACCACCAGGGTGGGGACAGGGTCCTCGCAGAGTCCCCAGCCTGGCTGGGGTCGGGGTTACCCCCCTGGTGCCGTTTGGGGGTGCAGGATCCTGCACAGCCCCCCGGTCCCCCCGGGTCCCCCTCCCGGTTCTGCCGCGACGTCAGGCCGTGACTCAGCCCCGCGGGATGCGGCCCCACGCCCGACCCGGCCCTTCATAAGGCGGCGGAGCCGGCGCTGACCCTACAGCGCCCGACGCCATGGCGGCCTTCGGCCTCTTCCTCCTCCTCAGCGCCGCCGGTGAGTCCCGCGGCCCCCGCCCAGAGCCCCCTGCACGCCCGGGCCCCCCGAACACCTGAGACCCCTTCCCGGACACCTGAATCCCCTTCCCGGACTCCCGGGTCCATTCCCCGGACACCTGAATTCCTTTCCCGAACTCCCGGGTCCCTTCCCCGGACACCTGAATCCCCTTTCCCAAACTCTGTGTCCCTTCCCGGACTCCTGAGTCCCTGCCCCGGACACCTGAATCCCCTTCCCGAACTCTGTGTCCCTTCCCGGGACACCTGAATCCCCTTCCCGAACTCTGTGTCCCCCCTGGGCTCCTGCCCGGGTGTTTGGGGCGCTCCCACGGACACCTGGCTCCACACCCGCACATCAGGGCTCCCCACCCCGGATGTCGGGGCCGCTGCCCACACACCTGGATCCCTCCCAAATGCCTGGAGGTCCCTGTCCCAAAAACCTGCGTCCCTCCTGGGTGTCTGTGTCCCCTTCACCAGCACCGGGGGACCCTCCTGAACGTCTGGGTCCCCTTCCCAAACACCTGGGCCCCCTCCCCATTATGGGGCTCCAAGCTGGTCTGGGTGGGGGTCCCTGCTTGCTGTTCTGTGGGTGGGTGGGGGGATGGAGGGGGTGACCCTGCTGACCCCTGTGTCCCCCACGGGTGACAGCGGTGGCCTCGGGGCAGCTGCAGCAGGTGGTACAGGAGAGCCTGGACCTGCGGCCCCCCAGCATCAAACAAGGTGAGGGGAGAGACGGGGACACCCAGGGGTGGGGGACACCCGGGGGTGGGGGACACCCGGGGGTGGGGGACACCCAGGGGTGGGGGACACCCAGGACTGGGGACAGGGGATGCTCATGGGTGAGGATATGGATGGAGCTGGGGGTGGAGGGACATGGGGACACGGTGATGCAGGAGAAAGGGGACTTGGATGGGGGGGACACGGGTGGGAGTGACAGGGGGACACAGGGACAAGTGCAGGGAGGACACCCCCCGCCCCGTGCCCACCCGCTCCTTTTTCAGTGCTGCAGCAGGAGCAGGACCTCGAGGTGCCCCCCGACATCCTGGTGGGGGGCTCCATGTCCCCCCCGCGCAGCCCCCCGGTCTGGGGCAGCGCCCTGGACGGGTTCCCCCCCGCCTGGCCCATGGCCGCCACCGTCACCCGCCACTGCCGCGACCCCCCGACGCTGCCGCCGCCGCTGCCGCTGCCGCCCACCGCCTTCGCCCACCTGCGGCGGCAGGCGGCGGCGCTGGCCGCGCTGCGGCCCCGGCTGAACGACTGCTGCCGCCAGCACAGCCCGCTGCCCTGCGCCCGCCGCGCCGTGAGCCGGGGACAGGGGACACCGGGGAGGGGCACCGGGGAGTGGGGACACCGGGGAGGGGCACCGGGGAGAGGGGACACCGGGGAGAGGGGCACCGGGGAGAGGGGATATAGGGGAGAGGGGACACCGGGGAGAGGGGACACCGGGGAGAGGGGCACCGGGGAGAGGGGCACCGGGGAGTGGGGACAGCGGGGAGTGCGGATACCGGGGAGAGGGGATATAGGGGAGAGGGGATATAGGGGAGCAGGGACATTGCGGGGAGAGGGGGACACCGGGGAGACGGGACACCGGGGAGAGGGGGGACATAGGGGAGAGGAGGGATATAGGGGAGAGGGGGGACACCGGGGAGAGGGGACACCGGGGAGAGGGGGGACATCGAGAAGAGGGATGTGCGGGGACACTGTGAGGGACACGGGGACACTGCTGGAGGGGAAGACACGAAAACACCGGGGCAGGTGTAACGTGGGGACAACGCGTGGGGGGAGACAATGGCGGGAGGGGGACGGGGACACTGCGGAGGGAGGGACACGGGGTGACACCGAGGGGGCTCTGCCCCCGCTGCCCCGCAGTGGACGGACGTGCTGGACGAGTTCTGCACGGACGAGTTCGGGGTGAAGACGCGGCAGTTCCACTGCTGCCGCCGGCACGGGGCCGCGCGGCGCCGCTGCTTCGCCCAGGAGACCCCGGCCCCCACCTGGGAGCCCGTCCCCACCTGGAACCCCAACTTCGCCTGGGACCTGGTCACCGAGCCCCCCTTTCCGCCCGGCGAGCCCACGGCCAGCAACCTGGGCAACATCTGCGGGCTGCGGGCGCTGCGGCCCGGGCCCCCCGGTCCCGGTGCCCGCTCCGGGCCCCGCGTCCGGCTGCGGGTCCGGTTGGAGCGGGAGTACGGCCGCTGCTGCCGCAACGAGAGCCTGAGCTGCGCCCACAGCGCCGTGAGTGGCACACGGGGAGGGGGGGACGAGGCTGGGAGGGGCTCAGGTGTCCGGGAAAAGGACCCGGGTGCTCGGCAAAGGGACCGAGGTGTTTGGGTTGGCACTCCGGTATCCGGGGAGGGGCCCCAGGTGTCCCGGCAATGACCCGTGTGCCCGGAGCGTGACCCAGACACTCAGAGGCCGGGAAGGCTCCCAGGTATCCGGGAAGGTGACAAACGTGTCAGGGAGGGGCCCCGGTATCCGGGGAGGGGACGGAAATGTCCCGGGGATGACCCAGGTGTTCGGGGGTTGGGGGGGTCCCGGTGTCCGGGCACCCCCCTGAGCCCCAGTTCCTCCTCCACAGTGGCTGAAGGGGCTGAATCGGTTCTGCCGGGAAGAGTCAATGATAAAGACAGGGCAGCACCGGTGCTGCCAGCGGGGGGGTTCCCGGGCCCGGGGCCGCTGCTTCGCCGCCGCCGCCCCCCACCCCGAGTACGACCGGGAGCTGCACAACGTGAGCCTGGCCCGGCCCGGCCCGGCGCTGCTGCGCTCCCTGTGCGGCCCCACACGGCTCTTCACACAGAGGTGGGTGACCCCAGAACAGCCCCGGGGGACCCCACAATCCCTCCTGTTGGAGACCCAGCCTTGCAGGACCCCTCATCCCCATCCCAGGCGTCTGGGACTCTCCATTGCTCGGGAACCCCTTTCAGGGTGGGGAGGCAGCAGTCCGCTCCCCCTGCCTTAAACCCCCGTGGGGGTGACCCCCGTGTCCGTGGAGGTGACCCCCGTGTCCGTGTCCGTGGAGGTGACCCCCGTGTCCGTGTCCGTGTCCGCAGGCGGCCGGTGCCGGAGCTGTTGGGGGCCATGACGGCCGCGTGCTGCCCACTGCCCCCCGAGGAACGCGGCACCTGTGCCCGGGAGCAGGTGAGTGACCCGTGGGGGGGGGCAGGGGTGCCAGGGGACCCCCAGAGCCGCCCTGACCCCCCGTCCCCATTGCCCACAGCTGTCCCAGGGCATCGCCACGCTCTGTGCCACCCCCCGGGACGCCTGGCGGGACCCCCAGGGCTGCTGCTCGTGGGACGAGCCCGAGCGGCGGCGCTGCTTCGACAGCACCTACCTGAGCCAGGTGACCCTGGGGGCCGCCCTGGCACCCCCACCCCCCGGCCACGAGGAGTGACTCCCTCCCAGCAGGAGGGAACAATAAAGATGCTGCGGTGTCACCTCTGAGTGTCCCTGTATTTCCCTTTGGGGACTTCCTTATGCCTCATTGTTCCCCCCCGGCCTCGGTGTCGCCCACGGGGCCCCATTCCGGGGTGTGCCGGGGTGTGGGTGGATACTGGGGTGTTTGCACTGTTGGGGAGTGTCAGGCCCTGCTGTGATACCCGTGTTTGGTTTTGGGGTGTGCTTGTGGTCACTCACCCGCACGGGGCACACACGGCCTCGTGCCCCCCAGGGGTCTCTGTGCACCCCTTCCCTGGATTCTTGCGGCCCCACAGTGTCACTGTCACTCGTGTCCCCCCTCGTGGCCATAATCCCAGGTCCCCAAAACCCTCATGGTGCCCCACCAGCTGTGGCTGACAGTCCCTGGGGAGTGTTTGGGGGACACTGATGGGGCTGGGGGCATCCTGTGGGTCCATCCACCCATCTGTCCTTCCCTGTGTCCTTGCTAGAACCGCCCCCTCCCCAGATACTCCATCCATCCGTCTGTCCCAAAATTCCCCAGCAGCTTCTTCTCACCCTATTCTGCCTCACAAGGGGGCTCTTTGCCCCTTTTGGAAAAGGAAGAATTTTTCCCATCCCTGTGGCCCTTTCCCAGCACAAAGCAAACCGGTCCAAGCCTTATTCCCAATTTTAGTTGAAAAATAAAGTCTTATTCTCAGCAGCCTCCACTGGGATGCAGGGTGGAGGGAGAGGGATCTGCTTTTTCCATTGGGAATATTCCACCTCCACCCCAGTGCTCCTGAGGCAGAGGCTGGTGTGGAACCTGTTTCCTGAAGCATGTCTGGGTGGATTGGCCTTCACAGGATGGCAGAATCCAGCATGGCAAAATGCAGAAAACAAAGTTGAGGGGCTCATCCCCCATTCCCTGCAGGTGAAGAGGGGTGTCTCCCCCCTTCCCAGGGGAAATTTCTCACGGAGACAAAAGAATTCCCCCTGGGAGCACCTTCATCTGGGAGAGTGGGAGGGGAGAGGCCAAGCTGGAGAGCAGGGCAGTGGGCAGGGCAGGGCTGGGCGGGCCGGTCACATCTTGGGGAAGCTGGCCAGGTTGGCCACACCACAGGCGTTGTTCATGTTGCGGGCAAGGAGGACGTAGCCCTTGTTGCCCCATTCCTCGCCCCAGCTGGAGGGTGGAAAAGCAGAGCCTGAGCCTCTGGAAGAGCCTCAGCCACCTGCAATCCCCAAGCCATCCCAACCCCTGTACCTGTTCTTGATGATCCAGTGCTTGGTGCCCTTCTGTGCCCCGTAGCCCACGGCCAGCACGGCGTGGTTGATGTTCTCGGCGTTGCAGCTCTCGTCGTAGTACACGCCTTGGGGACACAGCCGGTGTCACCGGGCGTGCCTCAGGCCCCCGAGCAGCCCCACGAGCCCCGGTGTCCCCCCAGCCCCTCACCCCGGCTGTAGAACTGGAAGGAGGGCAGGCTGGCGTCGATGCCCACGGAGATGGGACCAATCCGGGCCACCGCCCTCTTCAGAGCCTTCTCATTGCCCTCGGGAATCTCGCGGTAGCCGCGGCACTTGGCCGCCTTCCCGGTGGGGCTGTACATGCAGCTCTCGTCCTGCGTGGGGCCGGCAAGGTCGGGGTGAGCCGGGGATGGGAGGGATGGAGGGGGATTTGGGGCTGTCCCCCCTCACACCTGCCCAATGTAGGGGTAGGAGTCCTCGGAGTCGATGCCGCGGTTCTGCCGGACGTACTCGAAGGCGTTGGTCATGTAGCCGCCCCCGCAGCCGTCGTTGTTGGCCACGCAGTCCACCAGGTTTTGGGGGCTGAGGGACAGCAGTTTCCCCGTTTTCCTCTTCAGCTGCCCCTCCAGGGCACCCACCGAGCTGAAAGCCCAGCACGAACCACACTGGCCCTGTGGGGACACAAGGGGTGACACCGGGGTGACACTGGGGTGACACCCTGCTCCAGACACACCTGTCCTACCTGGTTCTTGACAGGGGTCACGTAGCCTTTCTTGCGCCAGTCCACGGCAGCCGGGGCTCTCTCGGTCCAGTCGGGGACAAAGAGCGTCTCGTTGTGGCGTTGGTGACCACGGGGCACCTTCAGCCCTGTCATTGTCCTCACCACCTCCTCGCTGGTCTGGGGAAGGAGCCCCAGTGGGTGAGCGGGTGGGTGGGAGCACCCACAGGTGCTCAGCCCCACTCTCTCCCGTGCCGGGGACACCCACCATGTCACCCAGGTGGTTCATGGCCAGCTCGAAGGTGTGGACGCCCAGGGAATGCTCCAGGTTGTGGGTGTTGATGTATTTGAGGTTCTTCTCCCAAATCAGCCTCCGCGTCACCTCATCCGCCTGCACGGGGGGCGAGATGGTGCTGGGACAGGGGTCCTGCTGTGCCCCCCACCCTCGGGACATCCTTGTGCCCCACTCCCCACCCTGGGGGTCCCAAGAGGCCCCCCCGTACCTGCCCGTTGTACTGCTTGCGGTGGGTTTTCTTCCACAGCTCCCACTGCGCGTCCAGTTCCCGCTGCGGGTGCGGCTGGGCCAGCGCCGCGGGGACCAGCAGGGCCAGCAGCACGGGCCACCACATCCTGGGGACCAGCTGGACACTGGGGACAGGGCACAGCCTGAGCCAGGGGCCGGCTGGGGCAGGACCCTGTGCCCACCCTCCTGTGGGAACAGAACCTCCTGCACGCCCCGATTTGGGGCCAGGACCCCTTGCGCATCCTAATTTGGGGCTGGGACCCCCCTGCCAACCCTGGCTGGGGACTGGGACCCCTTCCTCCCTCGATTTGGAGTCAGGACCTCTTGCGTATCCTAATTTGGGGGTGGGACCCCCCTGCCAACCCTGGCTGGGGACTGGGACCCCTTCCTCCCTCGATTTGGGGCCAGGACACCCCCGCGGGCAGGGCTGGCCGGGCGCCGGCATCACATGAGCCGGGACAGCCGGTTCCCGTTACCGCCGCGGCGTCCCAAGCCAGGGGGGAGATTTGGGATGCAGAGGGTGCAGGAGGGGGAAAGTCCCATCCATCCTGCCCCTCACCGGCTTCACCCAGCGCCCCCAGCCCCCCGTGGCACAGCAGGACCGGGGACACTTCCCCGAGCCGGGGATCCCCAGGCCGGCTCAACATAAAGCCTTTTCGTGCCTCCGTGGGGCCCACGCAGGACACGATTCCCTCCCATTCCCACTGGGATCCATTTCCCGGGGGAAAAAGCCCCCAGCGCCCCGCTGGGGACCCCTCCCCGCCGCTTACCCAGCACGGAGCCGTCGGGTCGGTGGGAGCGCCGGTCGGGGCCCGCGGGAGCCGCGGCTTTATGCTGCCGGATTGAGGAAGTTTGGAGGCAGCCGGAAAATTTTGGCAAACATCGGGTTGGGATGGGAAGGAGGGGACAAGGAGGGGGGGACGAGGGGCTGCCCCGGCTCCACGTGATGCTGCGGGAGGAGCTGAGTCAGCTCCGGAGCGGGGCCGGTGGCGGGTCCTGCCGGGACATCCTCCTGTCCCCGGGACATCCTCCTGTCCCTGGGATGTTCTCCTGTCCCGGGACACCCTCCTGTCCCCGGGACGTTCTCCTGTCCCAGCATTCTGCCCTGGGGACATCCTCCTGTCCCTGGGGACATCCTCCTGTCCCTGGGATGTTCTCCGGTCCCAGCATTCTGCCCTGGGGACATCCTCCTGTCCCTGGGGACACCCTCCTGTCCCTGGGATGTTCTCCTGTCCCAGCATTCTGCCCTGGGGACACCCTCCTGTCCCTGGGGACATCCTCCTGTCCCCGGGATGTTCTCCTGTCCCGGGACATCCTCCTGTCCCCGGGACACCCTCCTGTCCCCGGGACACCCTCCTGTCCCTGGGGACATCCTCCTGTCCCCGGGACGTTCTCCTGTCCCGGGACGTCCTCCTGTCCCGGGACATCCTCCTGTCCTCGGGACGTTCTCCTGTCCCCGGGACATCCTCCTGTCCTCGGGACGTTCTCCTGTCCCCGGGACATTCTCCTGTCCCCGGGACACCCTCCTGTCCCAAGGATCCTGGCCCCAGGGACACCCTCCTGTCCTGGCGTCCCAACTTGGGGATGTCCTGCTGCCCTGGGGACATCCTTTTGTCCCGGAATCCAACGCTGGGGACATTGTCTTGTCCCAGCATCCCACCCTGGGGACATTCTGCTGCCCTGAGGAACACCCACCCTTGTCCCCAAGTCCTCCCCGTGGCCGGATCGGATGGAGCTGAGCACCCACTTCCTTCAGGAGCAGCTCGGGGACATCGTGCGACAGCCGGAACGGAGGACAGGACCCCACCTCTTGTCCCCAGCGTCCCCAAGCCGGGGCTGCCTCCCCGTAGCCAGTTTGGGGGTCACCGACCGGTGCTTTCTGCAGTGACCGTCACCTCGTCACGCGGCTCCTGCCTCGACAAGGCGGAAGGTCCTGGTGGCACCAGAGCCACCCCAGACGTGTCACACTGGGGACATCCACATCATCATCGCCGTCACCCTCCAGCCACGGGAACAAGGAGGAACCAGCCCAGGGACCAGAGGGGAGAGGGGGGATGGAGCAGCACCAAGGCGGGGGTGCGTCCTTGTCCCCAAGAGAGGGGCCACCCCCCATGGGACCCGAAGCTCTGTGGGGACAGGGGGCTGAGCCACCCCGGGGCTCCAGGGCAGAATCACCGCCTGGAGCACGAGGCCCTGAGGTGGCAGCGAGGGGAACCGAGGGGACAAACGGGGAGAAATGGGGGAGGATGAGGGTTTGGGGTGAAATGGGGCGAAAACGGGGGGAAGGGGCCAAACTGGGGGCAAGGGGATCTGAGGGACAAAACAAGGAGGGAATGGGAGTTGGGGCCAGAGCAGGGAGAGGATGGGGATTTAGGGACATTCCTCCAAGATAGGGACAGAAAGAGGCAGAAATGAGACAAAGGTTGGAAAAGGGGAAAAGCTTTTGTGGGAAAATCTCTTGTTGGAAAATCTCTGCTGTCCAGAATCCACCGGGATGAGGTATCTGGGGCTGCTCCTGGTTTCCCTCTCCCAGGATTTGGAAAATTTGGGGTGGGGGATACAGCCACAGGACCTGCAAGGGCTCAGGGAAATGGGAATTTTCTTTCTCCTTTCAGAACTGAAGGGGAAGGGCCCAGGATTGATGGGATGCTGGGGAGGAGGTTATTGCTGGGAACAAACTCCCTGGGCAATGGGACAGGGTGGATCACAGGATGTCTTCAAATGGGATGTTCCCACTTATCTATAGAGAACTTTGGAATACAATTTTAAAAAAGACCCAAAAAACAAACAACTAAAACAAAACCTTCAAGTCTTAATTTTCCAGAGGGAAAAGGAGAGGGAAAAATAAAGCTTCCTGCTCCACTTACAAGAGGAATCTCTCTGGGCTGGTGACACAAAGGTTTCAAAGCTTCCTACGTGGATTTTAGTCAGGAATGACAGCTCTGGAATCGGGTCTTGGAAAGGGGGGCTCCCCCCATTCCTGCCCTCAGCCAGCAGAGAGAACACTCACAACCAGCCTGGGAGTCCCAGAGCCCCCCCCCAACATGCAGGGGAAAGGGGGGAACACCCACATTCCATTCAAAACAAAACCAGGCTTCCAGGAACACTTGGTATTCTTCCCCAGCTGCTGCTGCGCCAAATTTCCTTCCAAGTCCAACTCTGCAATTCATCTTCCTCTTGGAATTGAAGCACGAAGGAATCAAATGGTTCTTCCAGCCCCTGAGAAGAGCAGGGTTGGCCACAAGATGGTTTTTTTCCCATGGAAAAAGCCAGAAGATTCCAAGTCAATGTTTAAAAATTAAAAATTTATATATATAGATATATATATATATAAAAAATTTCATTCTGTTCCCTACTTTTCCAGCTCTCCTCTTACTCTTTGTCATTTGGCAACAGGATCATCCCATGGCAGGAATTCTTCTTTAAGGAGACGGTGAGTGAGCAGATGTAGTGAAAATACACAGTTCCCTCAGCAATTCCCTGATCAAATCCAGGGATTCTCCTACATCCAGCTCCAAAACGAGGACAAGGAACTCATCTACATGTGATAAAATTCCATGGACAGCGTGGAGCAGGTTTTATCCCAAAAAACCTCTTGAAACATCAATTTGTGGCAGCACAGAAACCATCAGCTGGAAAATGGATTCATCCAGAAGAAAGCTACATGGGGTAATATTTTTATGGCTTGTTAATTATCCTGGGGTAACGAGGGGTCATGGGTCACACTGATTGCATTGCACAGTTCACAGGAGAGAAGATTCCAAACAAACACAGGAATCTCCACACAGAGCACCCTGGACTGGAGACGCTGTAACAACCCTCCAAAAACAGCCAAAATTCCTCCAAAAAGGAGGAAAACACTGGCTTAGGACACGGATTCTTACTCAAGCATTCTCCAGGATTGTGTTTACAGGGATAACACTTGGAAGAGTTCCTTCCGGTATTTAAAAATTCCAATAGTTTGTGTTTTATACAAAAAGTCACTGCAGAGAATGAAATAAAAACAGTCAAAGCCACCTTAAAAGTTTGGAAGGGCTGTCTGTGATCCAGACAGGAATCTCTCCCAAAAAAAATCCACTCGGGAGCGGCTCTGGGAGCCTTCGGCCTCGTGGCACTCAAGTCCTGAAGCTTCCAGAACAATCCCACGTGGAGGAGGTGTCCAAACCACCTCCTCCTCCACGGCCATCCCTCCTTGGAGCTCTGCTTCCAGAAGGTGGGAAGTGTTTAGACAGTTCCTTGAGAAAAAGACTCTGCTGTTTTCCTTTACATGTGGATATTGTAGAGAGCTTTATGTTGCTTCCCCTAAGGCTTGTTTTATTCGGAAAAAGAAGGGAATATATTCAACTCTGGGAATTCTTCATTGTTGTAGTTGGGCCCCTGGTCCCCCAGCATGGTCAGCATGTCCTGTGGGGATACAAGGAGAGAGTCGGCATCCAGACTGGAGTATCGAGGTGTGCCAGGGAGGTTTGGACTGGAAATTAGGGGGAACAGCTGGACTCCCATCTCAGAGGCTTTTCCAACCTCAACAATTCCATGGCTCCATGATCATGTGGGCAATTTAATCATGGGTTTGCTGGAACAGATACTGTCGACCAAACTGGTCCCTTTCCCAAGGGAATACAGGGTCTGTGTCCAAGGCAAATTTAAGGAGAACAGCAAATTTAAGCTATAATCACCAACTGCTGGGAAAGCTGGGGTGAGAGGATTATGAATTCTCAGGAATTATTTTAATTTCTTTGGACTATAGCTTTTTTTAAAAAAATTAATTCAAATTAGAAGGGTTAATCCAACTGGAATTTCCCACTGATCCTGCAACAGACCAAGACACAAAACCAGTCCCGCCCCCTCCACTTCCAGCTCCATCAGGTTACCCAGGAGTCTGGGACTTCCCCAGCTGATTTGAACCAGAGGGACAAGCTCTGGGTGCTTCAAGACCATGGATCCCACCAGATTGGGAGGTTAAAAAGCTCCATCTTACTGGGAAGACCTCAGGCTGGCTGGGCTGGGGCTGCTGCACGTGCTGCTCCCCAGATCCTGGGCCGTGGTGCTGCCCTTGCCACTGTGGCCACATTCCCACGGCGTCGGCGGCGCGGGGCTGGAACGGGGCCGGGGTCTGCGCTGCCTCTGTGGCTGCTGGGCAGAGAACACAGCAGTGAGCCATCCCTCCTTTGGGAATGGGGCTTCTCCAGTGCTCTACTGGGATTGGGAAGGGCAGTGCTTTGTGTGGTGCTTGCCCTCCAGGAATTCCAACCACGACAATCCAAGTGTTCGCCACAAAGAGACTCCCAGAGGGGTTTGTTTCCTCCCAGTCAGCCTTAAAATGGTTCAAAATTAATCTGCTGGGATGACCCCAATTATCCCAAGCTGGAAAGGACCCACAAGGACCACCGAGTCCAGCTCTGTGGTTGCAGGATGATTGAAGGTGACCACTGTCAGTCAAAGCACAGATTCAACTGTGCTCCCCACATTTAGGCACTCCCAAAATCCACAAAAAATGATGGCGAGCACATCCCACCACAGCTGGACGCTCCCAGCCTTCCTCCCAGGGGTGTTTTTCCCCACAAACCCCACTCACTGAAGCCTGTGCTGCGGCTGGCCAGGGCTGGGTACGGCGCCGTGGTGGGAGAAGCCGTCGATCCCGGCGCTGTCATGGAGCTGAAGGAGGACGGCGTGCCCTGGAATGTCCCCATGCTGAAGGAAGGTGGTCGAGTCTTCACTGTCTGGGATGCCACTTGCTGTAAGAGAGGAAAAACAGAGGAGAGGAAGAGGAGGCACGGCTTCACCGCGACCCTCAGCTCAGGGAGGAGGTGCCGGGCTAGCCCCGAGGAGGAAGCCCACACGCAGTGGCAGAGAGCAGAAGCAGGACGGTTCCCCACGGAGAGCAGGGTCTGGGAGGCAGCAGGGACCCGGGGCCTGCACCTGGGGTTCGGGCTGTGCTACCTGGGGTGTGAACACCGGCCGTGTCCCTGGAGCCCAGGTGGTCCCGCTGACCTGAGCTGGGGCGGAGTGCCGCGAAATCTGGGACAAGATCCGGCCGGCGGGCGAGGGCTGCTGCTGGATGATGTTCACTGGAGGGACCATGCTGCTGCTCCTGCAACACAACAGTGTCTGAGGCCGTGGACAGCGCTTA